CCCAGGGCAGCGCGCCGCTAGCCCAGAGCCTGGCCGAGCTGCTGCGGAGCAGGGCGAAGGAGGCGGTGCCGCCCCGCTACAAGCTGGTCTGCCATGTGCTGCTGGGCCAGTGGGGCCAGCAGAGCCTGCTGGTGGCCAGCCGGGCACTGTGGGACCCTGCAAGCGACAACTTTGCCTCCGCCACCTTCTCCAATGCCTCCCTCTTTGCCGTGGCCACAGTGCATGGGGTCTACTTTGAGTAGCACCCACCCCTCCCTCCCCACCGCCTTGTAGAGCTGCAGGGGGAAAGCAGCTGAAATAAAAAGGTTTCCTCCAGCTGTGGCTCATACCTGGAGTCTTTGGCCATGGTGCGCGCAGGAAGCGAGGTATGGATGCACCTTGGTGCCCTGATGCTCAGTACAGCCCCAGCCCGGGCTCACACGCACGCTCCAGCTTCCACTACCACAGTTCGCAAAGAGACCCAAGCTGCAGTAAATACAACCCAGAAGGCTGCACTGCCCTGGAGCAGGCAGCTGCCCCAGGCCGTGCTACCCAGCCTGCTTCCCACAGGCAGGCTGGAGCTTCCCCCAGCACCGGGGAAAGAGGTGACACATCACCTTCAAAGCAAGCTCATGGAGCAGATTAATTCCCTCCTCTTTCCTGGCTTCATTCCCAGCTCCCAGCCCATCACAGCAGGAGTCACAGTGTAACCTACCCAGCCCCTGGGCCACAGCCCCTGCCTCCTCCAGCTCAGCAGGGCTTGGTCCAAGCACAGACACACTTGGGAATGAGAGTTTGGCAAGAAGCTGAGGCAGCTCCAGGGCTCCACAGCCATCAGCAAGAGCTAACTCTGCCCTAGGGAGGGCAGTGGAGGTACCACATGGGCTCCTGACCCCCATCCTGCCTCCTTGACCTTGTCCCCCAGCAACAGCCACTGTCAGAGGTCATGCCAGGCAGGCAGAAGCAGCCCTGGGACAAGGATGATGGGGAAGCTGAAGCCCTTTTGTGACCCCAGCTCCAAGCAAGGCAGTTTGCCCTTACACAAAAAATTTTTATTGATATGAGTCAGGGACAGGGGAGCTGCACATGGACAGACCAACAGGAAAATAAATAATTCCATATAAATAAGATACATAAATAGTCCCACACAGCAGAGACTGCCTTGAAACAAGAAACGTCCCTGGGTCCCAGCGAGACAAGGGCTTCCCCAGGCAAGCCCTCATACCCCATCCCCCCCCCCCCCTTTATCAAACCTCAAGTTGTACCAGACAATTCACAATTTGGGAGCAGACGGGGCCCCCGCTTTAGTGTAGGAGTTGTGGAGTGGCACACACCAGCCCACACAGCCCCTGGCAGGGCAGGCAGAGCCCTTCACCCCTGTCCACCCCTGGGAAGGGGGTTTCCCTACCCCACAGCAGCCAAGCCTGGAGCTCAAGGCTGTGCCAGCACTCTCCAGGCCATGCAACTGCATCACCCTGGGCAGAACAGCCCGAGTCCCCACTGCAGGCAGCTGCCACCCAGAGCAGGCTGGAGCACCAGGCCACAAACAAGGCATGGCCAGCCCCAAATCTGGCTGCAGGGCACTCACCCACCACCTCCCTGTGCCACCCCAGTCCACTCCACCAAGACCAGCATAATCAGAGCAGGAGCAGCCCGTGGCAAGACAGCGATTGCCCAGAGCCAGGGAGCAGCAAGCAAGGATGCATAGACCTGCTGCTGTAACCACATCCACAAGTCTTAGTCCAGACTCCAGCTGAGCACCAGGAAACAGGGTGCCCAGGTGGGCAGCCAGCACCACAACATACCCCCCGTCCTGTGGGAGGGTAGGGGGGACCTCTATGTCCAGAGAGGGTCCCCCAAGGTCCCACGCTAGGCCTCAGCCCGTTCTTGGAGAAGCTTGAGGATGTATCTGAGGCGGTGGTGGAGCTCAGGAGAGCAGCCCAGCTCCTGGATGCTGCACAGCTTGTAGGTGTAGGAGTTGCGCTCCCGGTTGATGTAGGTGACAAGGCAGGAGTGGTCAGGCTTGCTAATGATCACTTTGGTGTGGTCGTTGTAGAAGTTCACCTAGGAGAGAGGTTGGGTTTGGCTTATCCTGCACTTCCCGCGGCATGTCAGGAGCCGGGATGGAGCCACGCTTCCTGCCTCAACCCGTTCCTCCTCCCTGACCTGCTCAGGAGCATCCCTGCTCCATGCCCCACGGCAGGAGCAAGCCAGTCCCAGCACTGGGGCAGACGGAAGTGGCCGACTGAAGCACCACATCCTCCATGGGCCAGACAAGCTGTGACCAGCAGGTCTAGGCACTGGAGCAGCATCCTGCACCCACAGCTGTTTTCACAGGTGGACCTTGCATTTGGGCCATGGCAGACAAGATCTAACATGGGCCAGGAGTCCCCAGCTGTCTTCCTCCCCACAGGGGTCTGCACATCCCCACTATGCCCCAGACATACCTGGAGGGTGCCACTGCTAAAGAGCATAAGCAAGGCTTGGTCAGTCTTCACCCACTGCAGGAGGAGCAGGGCTGGCTGTCCAAGGTCATCTATGCTGGGCAAGTCACCTCCCTTGAAGAGAAGGGTCTGCATAAGCCACTGGTCCCATACATGGGAGCACTGCCACCAGCATACACAGACAAACCTGGACACACCCCCAGTGGGGTCCCCACTCCCAAGACAACTCTGAGTGTTCACCTGGCCACAGCCTGTGAGCAGGGAGTCCCACAACCCCGAGCAGTGTGGTCAAGCCCTGACTCAACATCCAGCCTACCCATGATCCCAGCCCAGGGCCCCAGCACCCACCTTCAGGAGGTGCTGCTCCATGTAGGATGCAAAGTAGCGCAAGACACTCATCTGTCCCTGCAGCTGCTCAGGGATGGCGGCCACAGAGAACACAAGGTGTTTGCTGTTGGTCGGGTTGTAATGCACAGTCCTGTGAGGGAGCAGACCATGAGCTTCGGGGCCACCCAGCACCAAACGCCTGGCACAGCCTCCTCTCACCCCTTCCCACCCGAGAGGCTTCCCCAGCCCCTTCCCTAGCGCTAATGCGTGCCATTGTTGAAGAGGACCCCGATGCTGCGGTTGGAGAGCTGGTAGCCAAAGCCATACTTGTTGGAGTAATCCACCCACTTGCTCACCCAGACAAAGTGCTCATGGCGGGCCAGGGAAGCCGGGTTTTTCTCCGCTGGTGGAGAAGAGAGGGTGTGAGCAAAGCAGCCAGCCAGCCCCTGCCCACCTCACCTCCCCGGGGGGGAGCAGACCCCTGCGGCAGGCTCTGGTGGCATTTAAGGTATCCCAAATAGCAGCCATGCCTTCATCCCATGGGAAAGCGGATGCACAGGGCCCTGTCGCATCACAGAGCGGTCCAACCGGTTTACCTGGGGGCATGGAGGAGAGGCAGGGGCGCGGGACTTTTGGAGCCGGACAGCCGACTCGATGATGGCAGAGGCAGTGATGCAGTCTTCAAAGGCTGCAGAGAGAAGATGACAGGCTGAGTCAGCCAGCCCCACTATCAGCCAGGGCAGGCTGGGGTGGCCTGGGCAGGTATTGCTCACCCTCACAGCTGCTGGCCATGGTCACCCGGATGGAGGGGGTCGCAGACTTGCGAGATGTCTCCTCCACCACTGTCTCCACAGGGCTAGAGCTGGCGCTGCGGCATGATACAGGGGTGGCCTGTGGAGAGACGTGGCTTTATCACCGTCCTGCGCCTGCTCCTCCAAAGAGGGCTGTGCACAGGCTCAGGCATGTTCCCACCTCATTCCCTTCCACAGTTTTATAGCTCATCTGCCGGCAGATCGAGGTCTTCATCAGCCCAGTGACCAGCTTGGAGATGTCATCCTTGTCCTCCAAAGAGCCCTTCTTGGCTGAGGGGAGAGCAAGCAATGAGCACACTGCTGAGCACAGGGGATGGGAACATCTGGGCCACCCCTCCCAGTAGCTCAGCTCTCCCTCATCTGCTCCCATGCCCATGGTGGTGAGGATGGTGTCAGGCAGCTGCCTCCCACTTTCACTTCCCAGTTCTCATGCAACACAAGGCTTCCAGGAGGAACTGCCCCCATGGGTTGCACCACGGCATCCGCTCTCCAGGCGCACGCCCATGCCAGGCCACCGGCACCAGCTTGTGCTGGCCCCAGGCAGGGGGTCCAGAGAGACTCATCAGGAAGTCTCTTCAGGAGACAGCACTCACTTCTCCCTGGAGGAAGGGTCACCCAGAGGATCCTGGGCAAGTGCATAGACTCACCCTTGGGTTTCTTCTTCCCAAAGAGTGTCTTGGTGACTTTAGCGAACAGACTCTTTGCTGGGTTGGGGGGACTCAGCTCTGGAGCCATAACACAGCTGCTGGGAGGGAGCTTCTCAGGCGTGTAGCCCTGCAGAGAGGTCAAGGCAGAGGTTTGGTTTCCATAGCCCACGTGCTCCAGGCAAGGCAGCTGCCCTGGGCTGACCGCAGTCACTCACAACCCTCCTGACAGCCAGCCTGCATTTCTATCAAGCCTTGGCCCCACAACTGGCATCAGTATGGGAAACAGCCCGTGCTACATGGACAAGGTGGCAGGAGCACACCAGATCCCTCAGTTCTCCTGGCTAGCATTTGGGCAGGACAAATGCTTCCTTTGAAGGACTGAGACTCAGACTCCAAGGAGACCACCCCGCACAGTCCAGAAAGCCTCATCCCACCTGGAGAAGGGTTAAGGCCAGACCCCTACCCACTCACCTTGAAGAACTCATGGTCCAGGATCTCCTCAAGGGTGAGGCGGTCCTGAGGGTTACGTCTGAGGATGCCAGCAATGAGGTGCTTGGCAGGCAAGGAGAGGAAGGCAGGGAGGGTGTACTCCACCTGCTTGATACACCTGTAGGTCTCCTTGAGGTCAGAGGTCTCGAAGGGAGGGTTCCCACACAGCAGGGTGTACCTGGGAGGTGACACACATGCCACCATCACATCCCTGCCAGGCTTGTGACTCAGCAGCACTTAAAGCAAGGAAGTTATTGGCATTTGGCCGACCACACCTGGCCGGGAGCACCACTTCCAGCCCGGGCGGCCGTGCTCACATCCGGCCATGCTTCCTCCGACAACTGCTTCGAGCAACAGGCAAGGAGCCCCGGGGCAGGGGAGAGGGCTAGCAGAA